ATAGACCAATGGAACAGAATTGAGAATCCAGACATAAATTCATCCACCTATGAGCAGCTGATATTTGACAAAGGCCCAAAGCCCATTATTTGGGGAAAAGACAGTCTCTTTAACAAATGGTGCTGGCATAATTGGATATCCATCTGCAAAAAACTGAAACAAGACCCATACCTCACACCATGCCCAAAAACTAACTAAAAATGGATCAAAGACTTAAATATAAAATTGAAAATGATAAAGATCATGGAAGAAAAAATAGGGGCAATGCTAGGAGCACTAATACATGGCATAAACACAATACGAACCATGAGTAAAAATGCTCAAGTACCAGAAGAGAGACTAGATAACTGGCAGCTCCTAAAAATCAAATACTTATGCTCATCAAAAAATTTCACCAAAAGAATAAAAAGACAACCTACAGACTGGGAAAAAATTTTGGGCTATGATGAATCCGATCAGCACCTAATCTCTAAAATCTACAAGATACTCCAAAACCGCAACGACAAAAAGACAAATAACCCAATTAAAAAATGGGCAAAGGATGTGAACAGGCACTTCGCCAAAGAAGATATTCAGGTGGCTAACAGACACATGAAGAAATGCTCACAATAGTTAGCTATTAGAGAATTGCAGATCAAAACTACAATGAGATATCATCTCATCCCAACAAGGCTAGCATTAATCCAAATAACACAAAATAATAAATGTTGGAGAGGTTGTGGAGAGACTAGAACACTTATACACTGTTGGTGGGAATGTAAAATGGTACAACCACTTACAAAATTGATATGGCGCTTCCTTAAAAAGCTAGAAATAGAAGTACCATACTATCCAGCTATCCCACTCCTTGGAGTATATCCTAGAGAAATAAGAGCCATCACACGAATAGATATATGCACACCCATGTTCACTGCAGCACTGTTAACAATAGCAAAAAGACGGGAACAACCTAGGTGCCCATCAATGGACGAATGGATAAACAAATTATGGTATATCCACACAATGGAATACTACACAATGATAAAGAACAATGATGAAGCCATGAAACGTCTTGTCACATGGAGAAAGCTGGAGGTCATTAAGCTGAGTGAATTTAGTCAGTCACAAAAGGACAAATATTGTATAAGATCACTATTATAAGAACTCAAGAAAAGGTTTAAACACAGCAGAAAGTATTCTTTGATTTTTATAAGGGTGGGGAGGGAGGGTGAGGGTTATTTACTAACTAGATAGTAGATAAGAATTATCTTAGGTGGAAGGAAGGACAGCAGACACTACAGGGGAAATCAGAACAACTGGACTAAACCAAAGCCCAGAAGTTTCCTGAATACAGTCAAACACTTTACGGGACAGAGTAGTAAGGATAGGGGTCTGGGGACTATGCTTTCAGAGGACATCTAGGTCAATTGGCATAACAAAGCTTATTAAGAAAATGTTCCGCATCTTACTTTGGTGAGTGGCATCTGTGGTCTTAAATGCTTGCAAGCAGCCATCTAAGATGCATCAATTGGTCCCAACCACCTGGAGTAAAGGAGAATGAAGGACACCAAAGACACAAGGAGAATATTAGCCCAAGAGACAGAACGGGCCACGTAAACCAGAGACTTCCTCAGCCTGAAACCAGAAGAACTGGATGGTGCCCAGCTACCACCAACGACTGCCCTGACAGGGAACACAAAAGAGAGTCCAGATGGAGCAGGAGAAAGATGGGGTGCAGAACTCAAATTCTAGTAAGAAGACCAGACTTAATGGTCTGACTGAAACTGGAGGAACCCTGGAAAGAATGGCTCCTGGATTCTCTATCAGCCCAGAACTAGAACAACTTCTGAGGCCAACTCTTCAGACAGGGATTGGACTGGACTGTAGGACATAAAGTGATACCTGTGAGGAGTGTGCCTTTTAGCTCAAGTAGATACAAGAGACTAAATGGGCAGCTTCTGTCTGGAGGTGAGATGGGAAGGCAGAGAGGGTTAGGAGCTGGTTGAATGGACATGGGGAATCAGGGGTGGGAAGGAGGAGTGTTCTGTCACAGTATGGGGAGAGCAATTAGGGTCACATAACAATGTATGTATAAATTTTTGTATGGGAAAAAATAAAAATAAGAAAAAAAAATATTTACAGCCTTAGAAACACTATGGGGCAGTTCTACTCTGTCCTACAGGGTCTCTATGGTTTGGAATCGACTCGAAGGCAATGGATGTGGTTTTTGGTTTTTTGGCTTCATTGCAAGTGGGGACTCAGGAGCTTCAAAAAAGCTGAATGATTTTGCTAAACCATCTTTGAAGATTAATTTTGGTCTAAATCTAGGGCTTCAATTTTATATCCAGGAATATCATGATGCAGAGATTTGCTGGGCAAATGGTACATTTATTCAAAAATCTAGATATCCAGTCAGCATTTCCTAAGAAGTCATACCATACTTTTACCAAAGGACCTGCTCAGAGTTATAATTCTTAGAAATAATACAGCAGAAAACAATTTTGTTAACATATTCTCACCTTTCCAACTAGTGCAGGGATATTCATTGAGTTAGTTGCAAATCCCATGCCAAAGACCATAGCTGCTTCTACGTTCAGGAACTTAGCCACAAGGTCCTCCAACTCTTTGTGCTTATCCAAGGTACCTGCACATGAAATGATATGTTGGGTTAGCCTTCTCTTTTCAATATACCCAAGACTGAAAACTCAAATTCCACTATAGAACCATTACCAAAAAACATGCACAACAGTGAACATAGCAGGAATATTTGTAATAGACTCAATCTAGAAACAACTCAAATGTTCATCTATGATAGAATGGATAAATACATTGTGGTGTTTTTATATAATGGAATTCAGCACAGCAATGAGAAAGAACAAACTACTGCATGGAAGAATCTCACAAATAATGATGTTGAGTGAAAGAAGTCGGACACTTAAAAAAGTAACAGACACTGAACAGCAAAAGAAAAAACAAACTTGTTGCTGCTGAATCAATTTTGACTCATAGCGAACCTATAGGACAGAGTAGAACTGCCCCATAGAGTTCCTAACGAGTGGCTGGTAGATTCAAACTGCCGACCTTTTGGTTAGCAGCTGTAGCTTGCCACAGATCTTAACCACTGTGCCACTAGAGCCCCAACAGACATTAGAAGTCCATTTACATGAAGTTTACAAACAGGTGGAACTAATCTATGGTGTTAGAAGTCAGGATTGTTACTACTTTTGTTGGGTGCACAAGGAGGATTTTGAGATTCTAGAAATGTTTTGATTCTATATCTGGGTGCTAGTTACACAGGTACGTTTGCTTTGTGAAAATACATTGAGCTAAATACTTCTGAATGGTGCCCTTTTTTATTTTATATTGCAATAAAATTTACAAGATACACCACAATTTCTCTCTCTTCCACCCTCCATCTCACAAGTAATTAAATTATCACCTTTCAGAGGAGATCCCCCACATCTAAATGCAAGCAGATCCCATGACTTCCAAGTAATAAAACTAGTTATAATTTATTGAAACATTCTAATGTACTTGATGCTATGCTAAGTCCATTACTTATGTTATTTAATCTTAAGAGCCCAACACTGCAGATAGTGTTACTTTACAGATAAGAAAACTGAAGCTTAAAGAAGTTACAGATAAAAATCAACAGAGATAGTCTAACGCCAAAGTTTATGTTTTTAATTACTCTGCTAGTTAAAAGATGCTTGCTATATGCTTGCTCTCTGACCCCTTCTTAAACATAACCCCTCATGCCTTACTGACAGCAAATTTTAAAGCTTTTCATATTTTTCTTTTTGCCATCCCTCTGACTTCTAGATCTACACTGCGCAATATGGTGGCTCTAGCCACATGTGGCTAGTGCAGCAGAACTGAATTTTTGATTTTATTTAATTTAGTTAAATTTATATTAAAAAACTGAAGCACTGAAATATATTTTGCTAAACCCAACTTCATTATTTTGGTAGGATTACATTTTACTCTAAATATTGAAAATTTAATCTCTGAATTGAGATATTTTGTAAGTGTTCTAAGTGTAAAATACAACTTTTTGAAGGTTTAGGACAAAAAATACAAAAAATATCTCATCAGTAAATTTTTATATTGATTACGTGTTAAAATGATATTTTGTATAAATGTATTATTAATTAATTTTACCTGTTTATTTTTACTTTTTTCAATGTGGCTACTAGAAAATTTAAAATTACAGGTCTTGCATTCTGTTTCTATTGGTCAGTGATGCTCTAAATGATACACTTACTGGAAAAGAAAACTGTACAAGAAGAGAGATGCAGTAATCTAAGTTAGAGGAATACTGTTAGCATGTTCAAGACTATTGTAAATATGCATCTTGCAACCCAAGGATTAACATATCTTCTTATACTGAGGGAGATAGCAGAATTTTATTTAAATTGGTAAATTAACTCCTTACTGTGGTAAATGGTAAGGGGTTAAACTTTACAAGGCACTGAGTGGTCTGTTCAAAGTTTTATTTTGCATTTAATACCCAAGAAGACATTTGAAGGCAAATCTTTGCTCTTCATGAGAGGTCACGCTGTCATACAGCAGATGGCCAGTGGCCCTTCTTCTCAAACAAGAATACATTTATTCCCCAAATTATCAGAAGGCACAGTAAAACAAATTAGATTCTAGGAGAGTCAATTTTACTCAAGAGCTGGGGTGAATTAAAACTTTAAGTTGTAATTTAAAACTATGTATTATCAAAGATATATTGTGGAGGAGGAAGAGAAACTAAAATTTAAAGATAAAGCATGAGGGAAGGTGGAGAAAGATGGTGAAGTGCATGGCTGTTCTCATCTACTCTCCCAGCAACTAACTCACTGAACAATGAGCAAAAACAGGCACAGAATGAGATCTCAGAACTCCAGACAGCCGTTGAAGAACTGGAGAGTTGGGCTGAGTCCAGAAGCAGGGGAGAGGAGGAATGGGGTTAGCACAGAAACAGAGATCTTACCCACTAACATTGGGAGGGCATGCTCATTGCCGCCAGTTTGGGATGAGACTGGGTAACACCCCAAACGGGGAACACAGAAAGGGAGCTCATCTGAAGAAGCTCTAGTTAGCTTTTTTAAGGCAGTGCAAATTGGCTGCAGGGCAAATTGGCCATGGGAGTTCTCACACCGTGCAAGTGGTAGGGGGTGAAGGAAGACCTTAGTGCTGCATAAGAGTACTGTTGAATCTTGCTGAGGCCCGAAATGAATGGGCACTAGTACCAGGAAGAGCTGCAAGGGCAATAAGGTGAGGGGGAAGGTCCAGACTGACAGGCAGGCAGGAAGAGGGGCCCCCAGCAAGACATCATAGGTAGTGGGCATGCCATGCAGGGGAGCCAGTGAGGGAAAGACTAAGAAAACTCTCACCATCACCACAGTAAGGTCAACACCCACCACACACACCAGCTGAGGCATCCAGAGAACACCCCCCCCATGCATATTGAGACTAAGTATGCAGATCTCTTGAATCAACTCTGGGGGAAAACAAAGACCTAAGGATAAATGCCATCTAGTGGTTCACATGAGAAGATACCAATCTTGTTGCCACTGAGACATTCTATCTAATGGAACTTGCGGGGCTGAAGCAGACTGCCTCCTGGAGTTCCTGGGCCTATGAATCTTGGGAAGAGCAGTCTGCTGTGTCTTTCTCTCACAGAGTGGCTGGGTGCAGGCCCTGGCTTTTGAAGCTGGCAACTGGGTAATTGGATGCTCCCCTACTAGGACATGAACCAGAAAATTTTCCCAAAATAAACAGAATAAAAAAATTTAAAGAAAAGACAACAAAATGGCTCAAGTCAAACAAAAACTAGTAAAAAACACAAAAGCACAAGAGAAGAAGTAGCATTCAAAAGCAAAACATAAAGAAGAGGAAATCTCTCCTAGGGAGGTCAGAATAATGCAAAGAATGGAAGATTTTCAGACTATGGTGCTAAATATGTTTAAAGAAAGCAAAAAGCACAGAGAAAACAAACTAACGGAGTTTAGGAAGCAAATGGAGGAACAAAATGAGAGATTCAACCAGGAATTTGAAAACATAAAAACAAAAACAAAGAGTTACTAGAACTGAAGAATAAAACATCTGAATTAGAAAAAGCAAGAGAAACACTCAACAATAGAGTGGAACAAGCAGAAGATAGAATATCTGAATTAGAAGACAAAATAACTGAACTTATCAAGTCTCAAGAGAAACAAGAGAAAAAAGCAAAGCAAACAAATTCACATTTCTTTTTTGAATTTCTTCAAGGGAGTACTCCAAATGAAAAAGCAATAACATTTAATAATCACAAACTAGACCTATTGAATATAGGTTGCATATTGATGTTGGAGACACACCAACAGAAATGGGGAAGGGAGGAGCATATAAGGAATAGACTTACTATGTTAAGAATGTATGCTAACAGTGATTCATATGCAAGACACTGTAGCAATTTTAGGTTATGTAACGTAACATATGTGGTAACCACTAAGAAATCACTAAGAAGAAATGCTCAGGAGAAAAGAAGCAAGTTAACAAAAAGTTCATCACAAGGAAACACCCAAATGCAACCAACCAAACAAAAAATAATAAATATAATAAGCAAACAAGATATGAAACACTCAAAAAACAAATAACAAAATGAGTGAGGTAGACAATTTTTTTTTCAGTAATAACTTAAATGTAAATGATCTAAATGCCCCCATGCAAACGACAGAGAGTGGCAAATGGTTTAGAAAACACAACTTATCCTTTTGCTGTCTACAAGAAACCCACTTTAAACACAAGGACACAAACAGACTGAAAATAAAAGGATGGATAAAAATATTTTATGAAACTAGTAAACAAAAAAGGGGTGGTCATACTGATGTCAGATTAAAAAAGGCTTTAAATCAAAATGTGTTACAAGAGATAAATAAGGACATTACACAATAATAAAAAGGTCAATTTAACAAGAAGACATAACAATTGTAAATATTGTGAACAACAAATGTTCACAAGAATGTGGGGAGATTGGAATCCTTATTCATTGCTGGTGGGACTGTAAAATGGTACGACCATTATGGAAAACAGTTTGGCGCATCCTCAAAAAACTAGAAATAAAGCTACTTTATGAGCCAGCAATCCCACTCCTAGGAATATACCCTTCTACAAGAAGGCATATACGAATAACTGTGGGTATATGTATATACATGTTTATGTGTGCTGCATATATTTTCAAGTATAAAATAAAGCACATATGGGGCATAGTTATGGATACTTCCTAGATACAAACACCTCATAGGATCGATCTACTGGGTTTGAGGGCTTAGAACCATAGTCTTGTGGGGCAACTCAGTAAATTAGCATAATATAGTCCTTAAACATAATATTCTACATCCTAGTTTGGTGAGTAGCATCTGGGGTCTTAAAAGCTTGCGAGTGGCCATCTAAAATACAACTATTGGTCTCTACTCATCTGGAACTAAAGAGAAAGATAGAGACCAAAGACTCAAAGAAGAAACTAGTATACAGAATCAGTAGTCTACACAAACAATGACATCACCTACCTTGAGACAAGAACTAGATGGTGCCAAGTTGCCACTACTGACCATTCCGACCGGAGACTGAATAAATAGTCCCAGATAGAATGGGAGAAATATGTAGAACAAAACT